TTTTATTATGTGTGTGTCTGTGTTTCCACTGTTCGGTTGTTCATATGGAATAAGCTTATTGAGATGGGTTGTCTGATTATCTGTTACTTAGTGCTCATATCATGTGGAAGAATTGCATTTGAAAAACAGTTTGTAGACTTTATGAAACACTGCTTGATGAAGTTTAAGAGAGCTTTTTTTTGTCTACTTCGCCTATTAGCATCTTCATGAATTTTGACCAACTTGTTTAAGTCATGTAAATAAGTGTCATTCTGATTATGTTCAGTTTGGTTACGTGTTTGCCCTCAATTTGTATACAGAACAGCAAAATTGCTGAGGAACCATTTGCTAGTTTCAAGAAACCAGCTGCCTATGTGGCATGATACACGACAAGTGAATTGAGCTCCCCATTTTTTCTTGTATATTCTTAAAAGAGAAAAAACCTTAATGTCTTGTTCAAATTTTTTCTCTACTCTCTTCATCACCGACCCACATCTATCTGATTCTCCACTTCTCCTCCTTTTGATTGCGAAATGATATGGTTCCTATCTTATTGATTGCTGATTTGCAGATCAGTTATGGATTTAACAAATACATATTCCTAGCACATTTCTCAGAAGCACCAAGGTGATAAAATTTGGAAGTATGAGAACTCATTAAGGCAAAAGCTGGACTAGAAAATTGATCAGAAATACATAACCGGTTTAAATTGGTTATCCAACAGAGTAGGCAGAACATTGCATTGTGTGTAGTAGTAACAGAGCTCGAGTACAAGGCTGTCAATTACATTGTCAGTTCACTTAATTCCTAGCATATGATCTACCTGTCAACAAGATTAACTCAGAAGCAATAGAACCCTTAAGCTGAGTGAATTGGGCATTTTTCTTTTCTTTTTACATAGGGCAAAAAGAAAGAAACTAACAACTCCATTCTATCTACGACACATTGACTGCTCCTCTGTGCCTCCAACAGCGGCACAGAGGAAAATAAATAAGCAGAATGGAGATGCAGATTGGCGGAAATAAATAAGAAGAGAAAGTAGAATCTAATTAATATTTATGATATTTTTTTAGGATTTTAAGTGGACTCTATTTCATTTTACCCTTCATCATACAATGTAGCCACCACATAGGCTGCTGGTTCTGTGAATGAAACCCACAACTGCCAACTAGTTCTTTGGAAAATCTATGAAGAACAATTGTAGTTATATGCTCCTCCCGTATAATCATCCAATCCGCAGTAACGAATATATGAAGAACAATTATAGTTATATGTTCCAGTTCCTCTCATGTACCATCCAGTAACCTGGACTTTGCCATTTGGTAGTTTTAGCATAAATACTTCATTTTTATTTTTTTTTATTATATATATATATATATATATATATATACGTCCAATCACATTGCAGGTATTGGCTTTCGGTTGGTGCACAGCCCTCAGAGCCTGTCCAGCGCCTTTTGTTCCGAGCTGGCTTGTTGCCCCCACCTCCGATGCTCGCCATGGGAAGAAAGGGGGGCCCACGCGACACGCGCCCTGTTGACCCAATGACTGGACGTGTTATGACTGAAGGAAAACGTTACAATGCTGCATCTAAAGAAGAACCCGAAGTAGATGAAGTCGACACAGATGATGAAGGCGACAAAGGTTCTAGCTAATAATCGGGCATGACCCCATATTTCAGTTCTAAGGTAATATCATATTCATACCATCCGTTTTATGATGTGTCAGCTAGCCTGTGATGTACGTTTTCCTAGTCGTTTTTATTTCCAACAGCTTGCATTAATGAACTTTGGAAAAAAGGGGGGTATTTGAGGGATCTCTTTGTTTTAAGTACAGGAAAATATGTAACAAACTCGTATTTAGTTGTTAAGCGACATTAATAAATTGCACGTTCTTGCCCGAATCTCTTCTTTATCCTTTGTTAGATATATCTTTGTGGGCTTGGTGCATCTTAGATAGTAAACCAAACAGGGTACTCACCTTAGTGCTACATTGTTCGGCGTGTTAATGAACGAGACGATATGAAATGTCATTGATAACCCAATGCCGCTTATCTGCCTTGATATGTACTTACTGCAGGATAATCCTTCATTTGGGACTTTTTGAAACAGAACTTGGACTATTTACAGCTGATGATTACATGTCACTATGATGCTTGTATCAATGAAATTAATTTTTACATGAATAAATTTGGAAGTGCTTTATTTATTTTTTTTTTCATAAATTCTTGTGTGGGATGGCCAAACCATTAGACAGGTCGACTAGTCATATTTAGAGAATGCAGCATACTTTTGTTATGAAGTGTCTTATTTTTGTTTTTGTAGTTTTTTAGAGTATGCTATTTTAGGTTAAAAGCATATGTATCCGTTGAAAAAGTATAATTATTGAACCGTTAGATATATCTAACAGCCACCTTAT